GCATTTGATTTACCCTGGCGGTAAACACGAGCGCACGTCCCAGCTACTGAGCGTTTATTTACACTTCTTAAAAAAATAAAAAGACGCCATCACGACCTGATTACATGCCGTTACAGTAAACTAATCAAATATTGCCACTGGTTTCACAATGATAAGGGAGAAACGAGCCCAGGGCGTTGATTCCTTGGCACATCAGCGAGAGGTCATTATGTTGCTGGCGGAGTGCAGACAGCTTGCCTATTTATTCCATATTACAAAGTGATTGGGAGGCTTGACTCTGTACTTTATTTTGTTGAAATTAGGGCTGCGAAAAGGGTGAGAGTGAGCTTCAGCCTGCGTTTAATTTAATTGATGCTTTTATCCACAGTCAGGCTCTGGGTCTTAGGACACTCAAGTGGGATGAAGAGGTGTCTCCAAGCACAGGTCGGCTTTTACTGTGATTTTATTTTTGACCTTTTTGGTTTCAGGACGAGGCGTCAGGGCACAGGTGAGTTTGTTTCTGCGCTATAAAAGCACAGGAAGGCAGATTTCAGAGCGTTTAACAGATGCTCTTCTGTCTTTTTTCTGAGGAAGTAAGCAGATTGGATTATGTGTTTTTTTTACTAAAGCCTCATCCCCCTGTTAAATTGTTTATATTTATTTAAAGGCTTAAGCTTCTGGCCTGAGGTTTTTGGGGATTTTTTTTATAGAACTGCAAAGGTTTTATTTCTTTCCTCCTTTTTTTTCTTTAAACAGCTGTCGGATGTATTTACTTCAGATGGCAACTCAAGCAAAGCAGAAATAGGACTACTCGACTTTTAAAGACGACCAACTAATGAAATGGTTGCATTTTAAAGAACTTTGCGAAGTGATGGTATCTGATAAGGCGAGCGGGTTTAGTCTGTGAAGTGACCCATCAGCATCAGCGGATTTCTTTGGTACAATAGATTTAGTATATTTAATTTAGGCATATAAAACTTAACCATCATGCTATGACTTTCTTTCCTTTAAGCTCCTGACGTTCTTAAAAGTCGTTCGAATTTAAGCATCCGGAATGTCCGGGATCACAGACGGTGATCGTTTTGTTTCCTGTTCAGATTCTTTTGCCATATGATGATGATGTCACATGTCATATGGACCATCCATTTGCTGTGACACTTGTGTTTAATACTCAGATCCACTGATCTGGAAGAGCCACTGTGATTCAGGCTCTTATGTGCACTCAGATTGTGGGGAAATAAAACGTCTTCAGGACTTAAAGTTGTTCGATCGGTGCAAAAAGTGTCCAAAGAGCAAGTTAACACCAATATTGTCTCCATTTCACAGCCACAAGGTGAAAATATGACTATATAAAGTAATCATGGATTGAAGGTGAGCCTAGGATCAAAACGTAGGTAAACAATGAGACCTTTCATATGCCGTGACCTGTTTTGATCAGCCGACCAATCCTTCATGTTGACGTGACCTTTAAAAATGAACCCCAAAATTCCCTTCTTGAGGTTAAAGCCACAAATGAAACTTTAAGGCACTAACGCTCGTTTCTGCTACTCTGCATCATAGACATTAAATTGGTGCAGCTTTGCTACTGAAAATGTGATACATCCTGTCAAGTTGATGCAACAGAAATTGATTTTGGCTTCAGGTTGTGACATCTGGAGTTTTAGGCCTGAAAATTGAATGTCTGTCTCTTGTTCTTACAGACGTGAGGGCTCAAAAATGCTGAAAAAGAAAAAGTTTTGACCCACCTCATAGTGTAAAACCTTTGCATTTCTTCATTAAATGAACTAATTGTATCATACATAAAAAAATCAATGATGTGATTCTGAGGGGGTCACGTGGGAACTTTTTAAAAAACGGTTGATTTATGTGGAATGACCCAAGTGGTTCTTCATATACAGTAGGCTTTGTATATGCCTGTATACTACCGACCCCAGCCAGTCGCAGCAGCTGCCCACCTGGATCTGCTGGAAGTTTCTCTCTGTTAAAAGGGAGCTTTTCCTTCCTACTGTCACCAAAATGCTTGTTTACAGGCGTTCATCTGATTGTTGGGATTTCCTCTGCATTATTGTGGTCTTTATCTTACAATATTAAGCGCCTTGAGGTAACTGTCATTGTGATTTGTTGCTGTATAAATAAAACTGAATTGAACTATTAGAAAAAGCATATTTGTGAGTTTCACGTGGTCACTGGTAAGTAGCATAGCAACAGCAGTGACTGTAGTGACTTGAGACATGCTCACAGAAGTATGGGATGAGTTTGTTGTTTGGACATGTGTGGTGATTACAGAGAAGGAAACATAAAGC